AGGAAATATTTTAGTTTGCGTGTAATATTATTTTAATGAAAAATGTGGTTGAAAAAAAGAGAGAGAAAAATGTATTTTAGGTAAAATGGAAATCAAACGCCCCCTGTATAAGTGATTCAAAATTTGAACGTTAATTACCCAAAAGGGATAGACCAACAGCAAAACCACTGAATAGTTAAAACCACTATCACAAACTTTGAATATGAACATTCACCTACACCTTCAAACTATGAATATGAACCCAAATTCAAATTCCACAAAGTGGATATGGAATTCAAAAATGGATCAAAAACACGCCTATGACTGTCGAACCACTGTAAGAAACAAAGCTATTGGCTGAATTTATGAAAATGGTGCACCTCTAACTTTCAAATTCAGACCAAAGGGGTGAAACCACCAAGGGAGCAATTCGAGCAACGAAAATCAAATACTTATGAAGCTGAAACTATGAAGGTTGAACCAAGAAGCGGAGAAGTTGAAGAAACTGAAAATTTGAATAGACACCTCCAGAGGATGAAAAGAGCCTAGTAATAAAATCAAAATTTTCAAGAAACACCAAGCTGGCCAAAAACCACATAACAAAACCTTCAAATCTTTAAAGATAAATCACTTTGAATTTTTAAACACTTCACTAGAACAACTTAAAGACTTCACAAACACCCAAGGAAGGAGGTGAAATCAAAGTAAAGAAGCAAGAAATCTCTAAGCAAGTGGGCAACCACGTGGGACTTTTTCTCATTAGGCTTGAGTGCACAGTCGCTCTAATAAACACAATGTTGGCACCCCTCTCATTAGTTATTGTTACCAGGTTTTTGTCTTCATTATTAGTCCCAGAAAAAAAAAATTAAAAAATAAAATAAAATAAAAATAGAGGAGGTAGGAAACCGTGGGTAAAGATAATGATGTGCGGAATCCATCATCGTATCATATCCCTTTATCAGTGTGACCGCTCCATTTCACTTCAACTCTTCAGCTCACCCCCCGTGAAGTGCGAAACCAACCAACCAACACAACTCCGGCAATGCTGATGCTTACGCTCACCGCTTCTTCTTCTTCCGCCGCCGTATTTCCACTATCCTCCTATTTCTCCATTTCACGTTCGTCCTCATCCTCTCTCAATCTTGCTAATCTATCAAGATCAAGCAAGCCCACATATCCATCCGCCGTTTCACTGAAAGTGCTAGCATCATCTTCGCCCATGATTGAGAAAGAAACGCCCGAGACCCAACGACCCAAAACTTTCCTCAGAGAAACCGACGACAATCATTCCCAGAACTCGAATTCAAATTCGAATTCGGTTAGAGCTCGATTCGAGAAGATGATTAGAGAGGTACAGGACAGCGTCTGCTCGTCCATAGAGGCCGTGGACCAAGGTGGAAAGTTCAACGAAGATGTATGGTCCAGGCCTGGTGGTGGTGGCGGAATCAGCAGGGTTTTGCAGGATGGTGCTGTTTGGGAAAAGGCTGGTGTCAATGTTTCTGTTGTCTACGGAGTTATGCCTCCCGAGGCTTATAGAGCTGCCAACCCCTTGCAAAATGGCAATACTATGCCTGGTCCAGTTCCCTTTTTCGCTGCAGGAATCAGCTCGGTAATTTCCCTTACTGCTTCTCTATGTCCACTTATGATTAGCTTTACCATCTCTACATGAACTCAGTAAGTTCAAATATTGATTTTAGTGTTGACGTTTCATAGCTTCGGCTCATGATTTTCAACAAATACTTCACATTATTTACATTACAAAATTGAGTAATTGCAAATTATGTTTGTTCTAGTATGATGGAACTTTTTGGCAACACTCAAAAGCATTGGAATTCCATCTTGAACGTATGGGGTTCGTTTGAGATTAACCTTGAGACAATATTATGGCCGTAACATTTGATTTAATAATTTCAATGAACATATCCTACATTGCTTGAGCCATTCATTATCATATTGGCCAAATGAATTATGTTGCTCATGCTCAGTTCTGCTGAACTGTCTAATGAATAAGCCATTCACCGAGATATTTGACCCAAAAAAGAGCCTGATTAGTTCAGCTCACTAAAAACAAAACCACTGGAACATTTTTTAAGTAGATAAGAGGCTGTTAGTTTATTTTTCATATGCTTGTGATTCCCTTGGAAGGCTCATTACTTCAAATAGTCACCATGTTCCTAGAATGGATCTTAGTTGTTGAGAAGGTTGTCCAACGGCTGTAGAATTCTAACAACAACATGGTCTACTCAACACGAAGTAGTTGTTAATGAAACTTTTCACAGTATTTCTTTCACGAACTTCCCAGCTAATACTAATATTATCAACTAATTAGAATGCTTAATTATTAGACCGTGGTATTTGATTTACCAAATCCATCATTATTGTATGCTCTTTCATACATATAGCACAACCCAGTTTTTAATTTTGACCTTTTTGGAATCAAAATATTTAATTATGATGGTATTTGTTTTTTGTGAATGGGTCTCTTTCATTTTTTTAGCTTGCCAAACATAATTGAGTAGAAGATATTGAATTTATTTTTTAATTGGTAGCTTTACATCACTTTCTGTTAAAAGGGGAGAAACTGCTTAACGAGGTATTGTCTTTCCCTGTTCACCAGGTTCTGCATCCAAAGAACCCTTTTGCTCCTACCTTGCATTTCAATTATCGGTATTTTGAGACTGATGCTCCAAAAGGTATTTCTACATTTTAACATTTTGATTATCGCACAATTTTTAATTCTTTGATGATGTTTTTGTATGGACTTAGTCCTCTAGAGTATTTTTGGAAATTGAGCTGCAGTGTATAATTATGTCAGTGAAAAAGTGTGTGCTTTTGAAACCCTTTTTTATTACATAAGTTATTGAAAGCTCAATTACGAGATGCTAAAAACTATCCACCCAAGAGAATATATGCATCCTAGGACGTTTTACTTCTACGTGGAATAGTCATGTATGTGAAGGCCCATTTTGAACCAAACATCTCGGTTTCGAAGTTTATTTGGGGCGCAAAACTCAAGCTCTATGTAGCACGGACAGTCTAACTAGAGTAGTGTGTCCGTGTCGGATACGTGTCGATACCGACACTCTTCGGACACTCTACAATAATCATTTTCCTTTCTTACTATAGTTATTATATATTTTTAACTCAAAATTTCTAGTAAATAACAAATAAATACTCATTTTTAAAAAATTTCAACAAAAAAGAATCAATAATAAGTATAAAATTAAATTTAAACTATATAAATGAAGAATTTTAAAGAATTTATCGAACGTGTCGATGACATGTCGTGTCGGTACTTTTTTAAAAAATCACGAGTCAACGTATCCGACATACATGTGTCCGTGTCGGTGCATCGTAACTCAAGCTTGACTCTTGACTTATTTGCTTCATGAGAGATGCCCCTACTTCCCGAAAGTATCTTGAAGCTGAAGCCAAATATTAAATATGCTGAAACAGTAGGAGAATTTACAAAAATAAAATAAAATAAAATAAAAAAATTAAGAAGAAAGAAAGAAAGAAAGAAGAAAATGAAAAAGAAAATAAGCAGTTTGGTCACACCAATGAAAAGTTAAAAATAACGTAAAGAGAATCAGCAAGGGATGATCTATTTTGTGGCTTCTGCAAATAGATTTGTGATACTGATTTTTGAGGTCTTCTTCAGGACTATAGATATCAATTTTCAAGGGGGAAATGGATTGGTTAGAGGTTAATGGTGGCAGAGGTTCTTTGAGAAGTTATATTGTTTGTTCTTTTCAGTCAAGTAGTCTACAAGAAAACTCCAATGCTATTCTTCATGCTTGTTGATAAAATGTGGTACTGGTGGTTACCGAGATAGCATCCATTTTAAAGAACTAGAGATAAAAATTATATATGCTTTTAATCACTTGATTAACCTCTTGTGACCTTAGATCTGATTATTCCCTTGTATCTTTTAATCAAATTTGAAGTTTCTAGTACATTTCTAAAAATTAAACATGGGCGGAATTTGGTCTCTTGTGCTGCATGGCAGTTCAAATTACAAACCATAGCATAGTGTTAACCTACACATTTTGTTGGATCCAGAGCTCTCCTAAAACAGAAATCAACTGAGTATTCTGCATAAAATTAGTTCATTGTATAAAGGAAGTAGGTTATATGATTTATAAAAGAGTCCGCATTCTGATTTTGGATAAAGAAAATCGCTGAATAATTTATGTGCAAAAAACAAAAAACTGTAAAATTACACTACATCAGACAAATTTCAAAGCAAATGTATATTGCATTGACATTTTCTGGTTGAAGCTTGTAGTAATTTGTTTGTTGTAATGAGAAAGTTTTAGATTCTTTGAACTTAATCCATATGGGATTTTATTTATAGGTATCTGATAGCAGAAAAATGAGATATATGCTTCAACTTCAAAAATCGCATGAGGGTTCGTATGTAGCCATGCCCACACACACACAATCGTGTATTTATTCATCATGATTATATGCTTTAGGTAGACCAATAATAATTGAAATATATTAGAATGTTATCATTTTCAAATGATGTGCAGATGCTCCAGGAGCACCAAGACAATGGTGGTTTGGTGGGGGTACAGATTTTACTCCTGCTTATATTTTTGAGGAGGATGTCATGCATTTTCATTCGGTATAAACATCCATGCTCTGTGTAATAATATCGCATTTATTACACGCAATGAGTGTCAGGATCTAAAATTGAAGTTCTTGTGAAAAATTATGAGAATCTGCCTTTATGGGACCATCAATTTTCATAATATAGTTAGAAGTTGTTGATGTTTCTTCCTCTTATGGTTAAATCAGACAGCAGACTGGTCACTGAAGCATATATTTCTTGATGTTTTGAAAGCCTGTGATACTTGCTTTGCATCTGGCAAATGAGCTTTTCCTCATTGATATTTTTTAGTTGATTGTGGCCATGGGGGAAGGAGTCACCCTGCTGATAGGAGAGCTATAATAACTTGTTTACAATTTATTTTTGTCCACAATGCTATTATTATGTAGTACTACTCACCTTCATTTTAGATACAAAAAAGGGCGTGTGACAAGTTTGATGCTAGCTTCTATCCACGATTCAAGAAATGGTGCGATGATTATTTCTACATAAAGGTATGCATTTCGTAGATTTATGTTTATTATATCATATTTTAACATGGTGCTGATACGTTTATTTATTTACGTTCTGGCTGTCAACTTGGGGAAAACTTAAGTATATTAATGTGTGTGTATTATACTAAATGGACCAAATATTTTATTGACTTCTGTAAAGTCAAAAAACTATTCATTTTTAGAACCTTTTCACTTGCAACCCTAAGCATAATCCCCAAGTATTTTTGAAGTATTCAAATATCACTTTCTAAGCTGTCAATCTGATTGAACCACTTTCCTGAGTTTCCTTTTTCTTCTTATGTTCAGTTCTGGTGGCTCTTTATTGATGGAACCCAATTTATATCTATCCTTCTATATCCAGTCACCTTTGGAAAACTATCTAGTCTCTGGTTTTAAAACAAGAACAATGGCACAAACAATAGCCATTATTCGATGTAAAAGATATCCTATTTTTTATTTTTTTATTTTTTACCAATAACTTTGAACTTTTTTTTCTCCATTGGTCTCTCTCTTGGCATCCTGTCACATCTCTCTTTATCTAGTGCTTGAGGATTCCATTTGAACCCGCAACTGACCCAATTATTAAAATTATAATTAAAGGATATTTGAGGCAAACTGTTTCCTCGAACCTGGATAAACATCTCTATGCGTGTGAATTACTGAGCTGAAACACCAAAGAAGTTGATTTGTCTTCAAACTAGAAACTCCCTTAAGATAGTCCCGATTCAATTTTCCATGTTTTTGTCTGTGCATTTACAACCAAATATAGTGGTTGATGTACAAGGTAGGTGCCATCAGGAGTATGACAGTATCACTTGACTTTTGATGTATTGATTATGAAGTTATTGGATCTTGCCTCTTGGAGAAATTGGTTATGAAGTTATTACGTTGTTGTCTTGGCAATATTGAGCATGTAGTTGTCTATTCCAGTGACTTGTTTTAGGAATCCTTATTTCCGTATCAGTTGAGTTTTTATTTTTTGCCGACTATCTCTCGTTATGCTAAGTCAAGACAGTTTGGAAAGGGGGGGAGGGAAGTAAACAATTCAAGATCTCTGGCTGTAATGGCTGCTTGCTGATTATAGACACTGGAAGTCTTCTTAATGACTGTGAGGCCTTTCCTCTTGGAGTAACCTTTTCCTCGGTCAATTCATCTGCCTCTAGATGAACACTGTCTGATGTGACATTCATTGGTATGAAGCACTCCGTCTATGGATAGAAATGAGAGAATATGTCCCCTGTTGCTCTTCTCAAATCACTCCTGTATGTTGGAGAAGGGAGGTGACACTACAGGAACTGAACTTATCACACGAGCTTATAAAGAGGGCTTTTGTAGATTCTCCAACTGCGGTTAGGACAACAGTGGCAAGAGCTTCTTTGCTCACATCTTATCTTTCCAGGTACTGGGGGTGCTTGAGAGAACCATGTTGAAGGAACTCAGCAAAGGGTAGTCTTCCCTTTCAAATGCTGAATCATCTTTGAGGGTTTTTTTCTAGGATTAGAAGGACCAAAACGAGTAGAAGAATACTTGAAAAGATAATTTTGCAGTTCCTAATCTTGTTTTGAGATGCTGGAAAGTTCTTTCAATTCTTTTTCTCCATGCAACTGGACTTGTTCATGGTCTCCCACTGTTGGTAGGTCATGGGTACATGTCTACTTGTACAGTTTAAAGGACGGAACTACATTTTTTTTTTATTTTTTGTTTTATTTTTTATTTGTTCTACTTGTTTTATTTCAGCAGCTGAACTCTGGCCACTATTTTGCTTTTCATTGATTTATATTGATTTATTGTTCTTTGTAGCATCGCGGGGAGAGACGAGGTCTTGGGGGTATATTTTTTGATGATTTGAACGATTATGATCAAGAGATGCTTCTTTCCTTTGCTACTGGTAATTTCCTAAACGAGGAGTAGAGGACACTTTCTACTATGAAATTCCAAAAATTATAGCCTGTTATATCTCCAAATTTTTCGTTAGGAAGTACCGAAGATAATAAACTGGTGTAGGCAAGCTTTCTATGTGAGAGGCATAAGCATTACTTTACAAGCTCTAAATAAGGAGTGATTTATAACATTTTCCACTTCGAACTGGAATAAAAATAAAATGTGTTTATAAAATCTGATTTGATTTTTATCTATGCTTAATTGATTTGGGATACCCTTTTAGATTTGCGATTATGTGTAATTATTGCAGAGTGCGCAAATACTGTAATTCCTGCGTATATACCCATAATAGAGAAGAGGAAGGATATGCCATTTACTGACAGACACAAGGCATGGCAGCAACTGCGTAGAGGACGCTATGTTGAATTCAACTTGGTAAAAGACCGTATTTAAAATTCTGACCAAATACTGTGCTTAAAAGTATTCTAAATTTGCCCGTTTACTATTGAAGGTTTATGATCGAGGCACTACATTTGGTCTCAAGACCGGAGGAAGAATTGAGAGTATTCTTGTCTCACTTCCCCTAACTGCACGTTGGGAATATGACCACGTACGTAAGCTTTTAATCAACTTTGCTTTTGGCTAAATGATTCATTGTAAAAGAAAAGAGAAGATAATTGAAGCAAAATGACTGTTTTGTTTGTAGCAACCAGAAGAGGGGAGTGAGGAATGGAAACTGCTGGATGCATGCATTAACCCCAAGGAATGGATATGAGATTTTTCTATTAATGTTGGCTCGTCCTGTTTTTATTTTAGTTATTTTCATAGCAATGTTGATATAGAAAACCCTAGTAGGGATTGGTATTTTATTGAGGTTTAGGCCATCTCATCTGTACACAATGAGGAAAAATTTGTGATATATTGTGTGCTTCGGTTGTCATCTTTCAAGAGGGCATGAATTTTTTTAGAATAATTTAACACACCACACCATGAAGCTTTCAAGCTGGGGCAGAAAATCCAAAATTTCCATCTGAATGCATTTCATGATTCCAGTTTTTTACCACCCCGTTAATTTCCAACTCCCATCCCGCTCGAATTACAATTTCATCTTTAAGTAGAGTTTAAATTGATAGAAATGAGTAACTAATGATCCTAGTTGGAAAGTACACTTAAAGGGAGGGAGACGATAGGGAATGAGATAAATTCAAGATATAGAACATATTGAGCCGTGTTTGACAATTTTATGGGGGAAATAGAGTTTGGAATAGTGATTTTTAGAATAATGTGTAGTTAGAAAATAGGGAAAAGTTTGGATTTACGTGTAGAATATTTTATTGCGTAAATTTGTGGTTGAAAATGAGTGTAGAAAAAAGTGTTTGAAAATAATGATTGATCATTAATGAGATTGGAACATGTTCTTCCTAGGCTCAAAGCATCAAATTGTCTTCTATCAATAGAAAGCATGCTATTGGCTTCAAGCACAAGTCATTGCAATAAAGATGAGTAAATAACAATTAGCGGTCTATCCGAACAGCATTGTGCTGTAAATTACAACAGTTTTCCTTTTTAAAAAGTCCGGAAATGAAAAGCTATAGCACCTATCACATTACCAGTATGGCCGCTATATATGCGAAACTGCCAGCAGCAAAATTTGATGAATGAAGTGAAGAATCATGGTATCACTCAAACATGCAAACCATTCCCATTAGAGTAGATGCCATCTAAAGATCCGTTGGGTAACTCATAGTGTGTTGAGGTCAGCTTGCACGTCTTTGTCCTGTGTTTCTTCAAAACGGCATCTAGCTGGCCACATGCAGCTGCTACAAGTCCTGGAGTAAAAATGTTGTTATATGGAATTTATACCCAGAAATTGAAATTTATAACTAACAGAGAAGTAAATCTATACCAGAAATTGAATAAATCTATACGGGACGAACTTTTGAAGCTAATGGAATAAGGTTTTCTTACTGTACCAAAAAACAAGACTTAGCACTTCATTATCAACTGCTGAACAAACTAGTTTGTGCCTTTTTGGAGATGATTTTGCCCTCACAGCACTATTCCTACCATATTCGGATACTAAATTTCAATCAGCCATTTATCGAACAAATTCAAAGCAAATCTAGTATTTAATGACAAATGTGCCCGTAAACGTTGAGATCTATCAACAAAGATGGAGCATAGAATTTAGCACGCTAGTCAGTAGTCACAACATTCCACGGAACTCCCACCAGAAATACTCCCCAATCCTACATTGCAATATAAAAGCCTCATTTTCATGCTATAATTTAATGCCTCTGCTTAGCAGAATGAGGAAAGCTCTGACCACAACAATTTAGCAGATCACCCTCACAACCTCTCAACTTGTGCCTACATAAAATTAAATGATACAAGTAAATCTCGAAAAATTGCTCATCGTAACCTGATTACAATGCTAAAATCTCTGAAAATATCACTGAATTCAACTTTGGAATGGCAAAAATGACAATGCAAAATTGTCAGACAAAACTAAATTATTGGAAAGTGAATTATTAATAATTGGTAATGCAAAACTAAATTAAACAAAGCCAGACACACTACAAACTTTTCACATCGGAGAAATTTAAGATGGCAATGGGAAGTACCTAAGAAAAGAGCAGAAGGCCTTCCTGGTCTTGATTTAAACTCAGGGTGAAATTGAACGCCAACAAGGTAAGGATGAGTAGGAAGCTCAACAATCTGCACAGGAATTTGGTGACGGACTCAAACGCTAAAATTACAGAGAAAATCTGCAATTAAAATTGACAGTCACTGTCATTTGATGAAAAGAAGTACCTCCATGCGACAACCAGTTTCGTCTTTTCCAGCAAAGGAAAGACCAGCTTCTTCAAGTCGTGGAACCATATCAGGATTTACCTAGACAATATCAAACTAATTTTTAACACGAAGGCATCACAGATGCAGAACTGAATTCAGAAAACTTAAATCTATTTCAATGTGAACATAATTGCTAGAGCATGAAGGTTCAGCGCACCTCGTATCTGTGTCGATGTCTCTCATCAACAAAACTTCTGTTGCCATACCTGAGAAAAATTATCATTAATCCAATCAGATATAGTGCGACAAGTTTGACACTAGCAGATATGCAATTTGATCATCGAAAGGTCCTTGGATAAATTTTTTTAACAATCACAGTATCATACTTTTTCTCCCCCGTTTGAGAATAGCTTTCAAAGTACTTATATGCTGGCACTAGATGCATATCTACAACTTGATTAAGCGTTTGATAGAGACTGAATCCATTCCTGAGGTTCTCTGTCTGAACCTCACCAATTCAATATCAATTTTAGGCCAATGAAATCAAGCCGACCCAATAAGATTTTGGTTTCAATTTATGCAGCTCGATAGACTTCTGCCCTTGTATGTGCAGAATTTTATAAGACAGTGAAATTAATGGGCAACCCTACGTTTTTCGCGTCCTACAACATCATAACCAAAATCAATAAGATATTTTACAGGATTTTTTACTCTTGCCTGAGAAAGACATGCAGAGAACAGAATCCAAAAAATTGTTGGCTGGCACTTACTATTGGTCAGGTTGGCCCATGAATTTAACTTCACCCACTTCTGCAATTTATGGGTAGGTAATTTGTTTGACGGTTTCGCCCTATACTCTGCCGAAACACCTCTCTCGCTTCTAGGTCAAAAGCCAAGATACTGGATATTAGAAAAGTGAAGGCATGTTTTTTGTAGTAAGAAGATTACCACTAGGTCTACTTAGGTTTACTGTCTCGGAAAGTGGTGAAGCCCACTTTGAGATTATGATTGATAATTTAAGGAAATGCTAAAGAAGAACAAATGATAAAGAATGACAGATGCTCTGCTGTAAGAAAAATACTGTGTATTACAGTTGTTTGGCTTTTGTACACAAATTGCAATGAGGGCAGCAAGCTATATATATATTATTTTCTCAATGGACAAGATAACTAGCCTAAAACTGCATCTAGACACACTTCTCAGGTCTTTTTCACTTTTTACAGCAGCGAGAACATAACCCGGCAGAGAAATTTGTAATATAATATTGTCCATGAGATTGAAGATTGACAAAGATTACGGAGATTACAACTTAACAACCTCTACCATATATAATTGACAGAAAGCGTTCCTCCTACCAAGATTTTTAACAAATAGTTAACAAAAATTCTCAACACTTTACTTAAATTAATCTAAAGGTCCCCCTGCATTAATAGCAAACCTTCAACATTCCGTGCCGGTATTTTGAAATATTATTCAATGATTATAAATTCAAAGTCATGATAACATCAATATTTTGAATAAAAATACATATATTTTCTCAATTGAATTCAAGAATAAGCATTGAAGAAAATACTATTTTAGACGTTTTAATTGGAAAATATGATTGAATAAGAGTATTCAATATATAGTTATCTGGTTTCAAATGATTCTCTAGTTTTCTGTCATAATTTTGTTCTCTTTTTTTGAGTTTTACAAAGGATTATATACATACAAATATGTACACAGAGAAAGAAGTGAGAAGTAACTGGGTAGGTGAGAACTAAATGGAGAAAAGAAATTAGAGGAGGATTGTGATTTCTTGGTGTATTATACTCTAGTAAAAAAGTTATAGAGACTCACAGCTTTGCAGATTTACTTGACGTACACTGGAAGTACGTCCTCCTGGATCCAAGACGCATTGTGCCACCCATATGGGTTTTAGACCCCTGCTAAAATGAAATCCAATCAGATAAATAGGGAGATAAAATTTACTAGAAACAAGAGTGTGAACATCAGACCTCTGGCATGAAAATAACACAAGGGTTCTGAGTGTTGGGATCAAATTCTGTGCTGTTCGCATCTTGCAGTCCCAGGACAGATCGCGCAAATTCAATCACTGAAATTTGCATTCCTAGACATATACCAAGGTATGGAATCCTGTTTTCACGGGCATACTTTGCAGCTAGAATTTTACCCTCCAGTCCTCTGTCGCCGAATCCTCCAGGAACTAGTACGGCATCTGCTCCCTATAAAGCTAGAATCTGTCAGAAGGGCCAAAAGGATA